AATGGATGCCTAATGCTAAGAGAATCTCAAAACTTTTTGTTTCTCTCTTACCAAAGCACGACCCCATCTTGCTGCCTACTGGTGCCTTTTCTGACCTCTGTATACATGTAGTTCTAGATGACTCAACTGGAAATAGTCTGGTCAGCTGTCAGAGGATTCCACCACGCAGCTGAGCCACTAATAAAAAATATCCAGCAGCAAAACTAACCGTAATATTCTCTAGAAATTTAAAATGAGATTGGGTTTTCTATCTTCCCCTTTAATGCATCCTGGCTTATAAAGGAACTTAGGACCTATATGGGGTTAGTGAGGCAAATTTGGCCAGGATACCTCACTTCTGAGTCCCCAATTCCATCTACAAAATAAATACGAAATAGATTGTTCCACAACGCCTAATATACAAAAAATGGTCAATGAATGTTCATTTTCTTCTGGTTTAAGTTAAAAACCATGGTGCTATTAGGAGGGAAGAGATGACTCCTTGAGCTGTATATTTCCTATCCTGCTGCTTGGCCTGTGGCATGTTGATATACAACTCACCAGGTAATGGGTGTGGGATTGTAGAAGTCTTATGATTGATGGCACAAAAACCTAATTAAGCCCAATTCAATTGTATTTGGAATAAAGAATCTCAGGTGATGAAATTGCCATTTTATCAAGGAAAGCACCTCAAAATGGAAGAGACCTCAGGACATGAGAGAACGACTTTGCCAACCCACTTTGTTTTGCACTAACTAGAAAAGAGCACGTACATTTTTTTTTTAACATAGGCTGTTCAGATTCAATTGTAGAGGTAGGAAGCCATCAGAAATTACCATCAAGTCTTCTGCTTCACAGATGAAAAAAAAATGCCCCTAAAGTTACTTTTAATAAAAACATTTTGAATACTTATTAGAAGATATTACTTAGACACATGATTATGTTTCTCAAGAAATCATGAGTAAATGAATGAATTCAGAGATCTGCCCAAGGTCACAAGTTAGTACTCAGAGGAACAAGAACCCTGATATTCTTACTTCCTGATAAATACTCCTGGGTAAGACCAAAATATTCCTGAAAACAGGTAGGAAAACTCTAGCAGGTACTTTAGACTGGCTCCTGAATGACTGACTGATGTCCATCCAGGGAACACAACTGCAGCACTCTAGTGTCAGTACATGAAGGATGTTCTGTTTTTCTACAGCATCTCACTCACTCTCTTCTTAGCAGTGAGGGTGTCCTTACCAATGCCTTATATGAAAGGGTTTTTACCTCCATTTAATCCCTTGGACAGCCCCCACTTCACAAGTCCTCTTTGTTTCAGAGGCAAGATAATCACAGATGCCTTAAAGCCAGAATTGTTATCATATCATTATCATACTAAATGCTATACAAGGAATTGGTTGAGTAAAGAATTTTTTTGCTTACTCTTGAGGAACAAGAATGAATAGAAAAATGTCATTACATAGAGGAACTCTAGCCCATGATGATCAGAGACTATTAGGGTCTAAAATCCTAGATTTCTAGGTACAGATACTACTATGTTTCTAAGTATATATACTACAATATTCATCATTTATGCCACTCACCTGGTTTGAAGCCCTTTCAGATACAATTTGACCTTGCCTAACTCTGGTTTCTTATCTGAACTATGAAATACAGAAAATTATGTGAATGGCTATCTTCTCAGTTCTTTCAAGGATGGAATATAAACTGGACCATCCTATATTCTTAGGAAAAAAGATGATCCATTACATGCCATAGATGTTATAGAGCATTAGGACAAAGTCCTGGCTGAGAAACATGCTACAGTAATCCAGTATACCTACAAGTTATGAACACATCACAATCGTTCTCAATAGCACATACTTCCAAAAAACCCTTCTCTGTTTATGAGTTTTTAACAATGAAAGTGTTTGCATGACCTCCAATATTTTGTCAGAGGGAAAAGTTAATTTGTATTCATATTATTAAAAAGGCATTATTTTTCTATTTGCAAAACACAACAGAAAGATCAGCAAATCTTTTGTACATATGCAAATTGCAACTCAAAAATAAACTACTGCCATATTTGTAACAAAGAATAGTAAGTGGATTTTGCAGGCAAGTTAGACGAAAATGCATTTCTCTGAAGTAATTGAGCAGTTATTTTAAACTTTCAGTTAGTCAACAAATTCTTGGAGGATATGACAAAGAAAAAAATACTGCATATTTTGCCAACAGATGGTTGGGGTTTTTTTTTTTCCTTACATTAAGTTAAATGTCTTGGATAAAACAAAAGTCGATGATTTGTCTCATATTTCAATTTGATCACTGGTTTACAACTGGAAACTCAGCTTATAGTTGGCAAGATAGAGCAGAACTGGAAAAGGAAGTGCCATTTATAGAATGCCTGCTAGGAGCCAGGCACTTTGCACATATAATCTCAGCTAATCCTCATGAGGTAAGTGGTTTTATCATTTCCTTTTTACAGATTAAAAAAGTGAGACTCCAGTTCTCACAGTCACTGGCAGTAATTTCCATGATCCATGTGTTCAGGATTGTTCCAGGACTCAGTACACCTTCCTCCAGTAAGGTCTGAAAGTAGATTAGGGCATTTTAATTAGTTTTCAGATTTATATCCCCTTTCATTCAGCAAGCTCTGACCTTAAATTTGCCTTCACACCAAATCAAAAGAAAAGGAGGTCAGTACAATGAAAAAAATTAGACCCTGGAAATTTGACCTTCTTACCATGACTGATTCAGATGTTCAATATTCCCAGAGAGACGTTGAGCTATGTTTCACAATAAAACAGGGTCAAAAGGCAGAAGACCAAACCACCAATATCTTTAGAATCCAGGATTGGAGGAAAGAGATATTTAGAACACAGATGGTTTGATTACCTTCTTTTATTATCAGATTGTGATGAATACATCAGCTTGGCACAGAATCATTTCTATACTTTTAGTAGTTGAAAATTTTATTTTCTCCAATGGTCTTCAAGTGGGATTTCCAGGAATTAGAAACTGTGTATCTCGGCCAGCACAAACTTCTGGGGTTCACAAACACACACAGTATAACGTCTAGAACATCCGTCAGCTCCACCTCTCACAGAACTGCTTTGGAACTTCCCTCTCCTTCACATGGAGTCTTCAGAAACTGCTGTTAGAAAAGAAAGAACAGTAACAAAAGTATTTTCTTTTGTCCAAAAGCACAATGCAGAGGCACTTTAAGAATAGGAAAAAGAATTTCTAAGCCTCTTTCAACAAAGCATTAATATTTATTAACTTGCACTTTACTGTAGAATGAATGTTTTATAATCAAAACTTGAGTAGCAACAAAATGGAAATTTCAACCACAAGTGACCTACTCTTCCAGTGATAAAGAGCTTGGGATGGGTGTAGCTGTCCACTGCCTCTGCATTTTCAAGGGTTCTTATTCACTCATGTAGACAAAGCAGTAACTGATTACTGCTCCATGTGATCACTAAAAGCAATAACTAAAAAGTTATGATCTTTATCAATAAGATGTAACTATAATGAAGCTATGAATTAACATATCAATGCTATGTTGAGAAATGGGGCATGTATTAGAAGCTTTTAAAAGCTTAGAATTATATATCCATTTTAAATTTAAATCAATTCCCAAATAATTCAGAAAAGAGGATTTTTTTTTCAGATTTGAACAAAACATTTGTTTCAAGTTTGTTTATCCATTCATTCACTATTTATTAAGCACATTTTATTTACCAGGAACATAGAAATGTGGGATTTTGAATCAAAATCAAAGGTCTAAAAAATAACTTACATGAGATCTTTACTATCAAAGACTGCCCTTACTAAATCATTTTGTAATTTAACAAACTACTCAATCTTAGTACAGCTTTTCATGGTGAGTTATTGCACACTGAAAAAGAACAAGAACATCTCAACTCAATAATTAATGTACACACTGCACAAAGGCAGAGAAATAAAAACCCAGTAGCGTTTATTTGTCTTGTCAATTTCCATGATTCAGTACACTGATTGCTGTCCTGAGACCATGTAGCAGTGAGCCTGTTAAAATGTTCCCTTTCCTAGATTTGAGTGAAGTTTCTATCCAAATATGTTAGTACTGGATTTCCAACACATCACCTTATGTTTCCATTGGATCTAAACAGTGTGGAAAAAGTACAGATTTTGGAATCAGGCAGATCCGAGTGTGAATTTCCAATTTATCTGTCAATTTTTCAGTTTCTTCATCTATAAAATGAACATAGCATGAAACTTATAGGATTGTTGCAAAGAATAAAGAGAATGTACATAAAGCAACTAGGTCACAATATATGTTGATTATCTTTTTATACCCCAAATCTGAGAGACCACACTGAAATTCTTCTATTTTAGGTACTGTAATTCACCATGAAAGTAAAAATCAAGAAAAGGTAGAATAAGCAAGAGGTGAGCATTTGGAGGCCGATCTATATTTGTCTCAAGAGGCAGTTATTTTATATTCAAGTTGTTTCATACTTAAATAAGGTATCTAATAAGAACAGTGTTTATTTTAAATAACAGGCCTTCAGATTGCTGAATGGGATTGATAGAGAAGATCATATTCTCTCCATCCTTAGCCCCTCTGCTTGCTCCAGAATTGTGACTTTGCTGAATGTGTATGTAGAAATATGTTGCAATGAACCCACTATATAGGATACGATTATAAAGTACCAATGAATTAATTAAATTATGGACAAGAAGAAAAACAAGATAACTAAAGATTATTTTGGGTTCATTGACAAATAAAAGATCAAAATAAAACAATCATCTGCTAGACAGCTTTTTTTAGTGCAATAAAGCACAAACTCATTTCTTTAAAGCTTTTAAGCACAGTGTTGCTTTGAATGGAACTTTTACCTTAAATCTTGCTTCTACCCGAAGCAATTCTGAGAATGCAGACTACACTTCCACTGTACCAAAGAATGGATGTTTTCTCTCTCTTTCCAGTTCTTCTTTTCATATCCTGTTTGCTTTTCTAACTTCTGCCTTTTCCTTTTGATTCCCTGCAGGTAGTCCGGCCATACCAAACCATGTCCAATCCCATGAGCAAGCTCACTGTTCTCAACAGCATGCATTCCCATTTCATCCTGGCTGACAATGGAACAACTGGAAAATACGGAGCCGAAGTGAAACTTCGGAGGCAACTGGAAAAGCATATTTCACTTCAGAAGATAAACACAAGTAAGTTGGTCACTGTCCCACTGTCATGCCTTGTAGAAAGTACACAAAAAGTAAAAAAAAAAAAAAAAAAATCATGCAGCAGTAATACATATACTTGAGCAAAAACATGGATCATGTTTTCTCCTTGGCCAGTGGTTCAAATGAGAGACAGTGGTCCAGAGGAGGGCAATGGAGGCAAAAGAACTGTGGTCCAGAGGAGGGCAATGGAGGCAAAAGAACTGATGATGCAATGACTGGCCCAAGCCCATTTATTATGCAGAACATTTCAACCCCATGAGGGGTATGTCAATGCAGCTATGCTTTCCCTCCAAACTTTTTTTTTTTTTTTACATCCTTTTCATAGAACTCCAAGAAGAAACAGTTACCCTGGAGATTTTTTTTTTTTACTCTATTAAGCTTTTCTAGTGGCTAAAAACAAGAAAAAGGAAAGAAGACAGTATTTTGATCATTGCACAGATCTAGCTACGCAAAGGCATTTCAAGGGCACTGAACATCCCCTAAGCTAAAGCATCATGCAAAACCATCTCGATGAAATTTTAACTCATCTCATAATTCTATGTTCATATTGTCTCTAGGTATATGTTTAGGTACATGTGTTTATTTATGTGCATCACATAATACATATCTACTGGTTACATTAATAACATTTCTTAAATGGCTGATGGGCTCTATGTTGTATTTTTTGTGTAAACATTTAAGTGTAAAAGAGTACCAACAACAATGCTCCTCAGATCACTAAGCAGCTTACGTTTAAATGTGATCAATCTACTGTCCATCCTCACAAAATAAAATTCAGTTTCTTTTCAAAGTACCACACCAGGCTTCATGACAAGTTCAAACTTGATGGTATGATGTGTCCCCCTCAAGGAAGCTTGGCTATAATTGATTGAAATCCCAAAGCCTGCAATTCCAAATACTAAAAGATTCTCTTTGCATGCATTAGTTTTCAAAACTCCAGTGTAATGTGGCTCAATGTGCCCAAATCAGTTTTCTTTTCTCTGATATTTTTCCTGCATCTATTTCAAATGGGTCTCCCCCTTGGTACAGTGGCCTTCCTGCCACAGTTGGGATGGTAGACCCACCAGACCACAACTTCTCCTTCCTATACTCTCGTCTTTGGGTGTTTGGGGAATTACTGCTGCTTAGTAGCCAAGTTTTATACTTTCATTCTTTTCACAGTGAATTCTGAAGTACTGACTTTGGGCCTAGATCTGAAGTAAAAGTTGTATTAGAAAACTCCCTTCCTGAAATGTCTTTGGAAAGAAGAAACACAGTAATAGGTCAAGGTGAATGTTTTATGGATAAAAAGAATAGAAAAGACTAGAAAACTGATTCAGAGGCCAGCAGAGATCAAATGCAATGACACAATCTTATCAATGGGTGGCAGGTTTTGCTATCAATACTAAAACTGAATTTTGTTACAATATTTGATAAAATGGGCAATTAGTTGCAAACGTTATGCAATTAGTGTTATCTACTTAGGTTTTTACAGACTGAATCTTTTCTTTTACCATCAGTTAGGAATGAGAACTAAAAGGCACAGAAGCAGGACAAAAAAAAAAAGAATAAAGGGTCTAGTTAGGAACTCAGTGATGAGAAAAATCTGTCTATAGACAGGCAAACCACCTTTATTATGCTAGGGCTTGCAGGTGCCTGGGCCAGCTAGTCAGTAGTGTGGGAGCAGAGCTGGGTGTGTGGTTATATAACTTAAGCTTCCATCAAAGAGATGTAAGCTGGAGTTAAAACCCAGTCAGGGCTCTGTTTATCGAGCCTTGTACCTTACAGAGTTCCCAGAGGAAAGGTGCCCTTTTCTAATTGGTCATCCCAGGAAGGATACCTTTGTGATGTACTTAATGTACCTCAAGGTATGCCTTTCTCCAAAGCTTGCAGAAGTGCTGAATGTGTGAGTAGTCTGCAGAGGAGATCCAGGGAGGCTCATGGACAGTGACCTGGCCTTAGTGAAGAGCAGAGCTCAGCAGCCTGGAATGTGAAGAGCAGGTCAGAGCAGATGGTTGGGACATCAAGAATGTTGGAAGACATGGCACCAGATGCTAGTCTATGGGTAGGCAGATCATCATGGACACATCACATTCTATTTGTGTAGACACTAGGCCCTTGCTAACCCATGGAGACAGGTAGCAGCATATGGGCACATGACAAGTGAGGACCAATCCAGGGTCTAAGGTGTAAAGTAGGGGCAAAGCTCAAACCAGGGCACTTTGGTAACTGTTTTTGAGGCATCAGTGAAACCCATAGGCTACCATTCAGTATTGAAATTAAATAGAGGAAGGTTCCAGAAATCAACAGAGATTGAAGTCATAGGAAGTTAAGCAGTACAGGGTAAGGAATTTGCCTATGAGCTGTAGTAAATGATGTGTGATTCAGCTCCTACCCCAGTTCTATCCCTGAACTTAAGGGTGGCAAGCAAACAACTCATCCCAGTTTGCCTGGAATTGTGGCAGGTTTAGCACAGAAAGTCCCATGTCCCTGAGTACCCTTGGTCTTGGAAAAACTGAGAGATGGATTCAAAAGATACTCATTGTATCTGTTTCCCTTATTACTGTTCTTAGTCCGCAAGGCAGGGAGGGGCACCAAGCTCCTCACAGTGTAAAGGTGATCCAGACTCACTGACATAGAGGTCTCCAGCCATCAGCAAAGAGCCCACAGAGAACACAGAAACCTACAGAACAGAACTGAGATGATGGGCAAAAAGTGAACCTGGTCATAACACAAAGCAGCCTAAGAATACAAACCCTTGATGCAATCCTCCTCAGCCAATATTTAGAACAGTACTTTTACTTTCTAAATCTAGACTTTTTTTTCTTTATATCATAATTAGCAATAATGTGATTCTTTCAAAAATTAAATTTTATTCTGTGAGTTTATTCTAAAAATTCCATTTACATAGTGACACGTAGAGAAATTATTAAATTTTAGAGAAACAGCAGTCCTATGCAGAATCTTGTTAAGATATATTTCCTTCAATTTTTTTTCCTTTTAAAATAAATTCTGAAAAATAAACAAAAAAATGAATATCCCATTTACATTTTCATTTCTTGCTTTCAAAGTTTAGGAAATCTAAAGTACAACTGTGAAACTCAATTTCCTGCAAATTAGAGACATGATTATATACTCTACCTCCTCACCCTTAGGACAGCCCCAGGACATCTGCACACATGTGACACTTTCTTCAATTAAGTGCCAGACCTGATCACTAGTGGTGAGCTGCATGTGGCAGTAACCTACCCATAATCCTCTTTTCTTACATAGATGACATAATCCTCTGGAGGGTATTTCCCTTAAATATAAAGTGAATCCCTCTCAGGACACCCATAAGCTCTTTCTCACCAACACTCCAATTATTAATAATAACATATTACAAGTGCCAAATGTTTGCCATTTTTCTCAGCACTCTGGCCTTCATTACCTCATTCTCTCCCCTTCTCCCCACCCATTCCTACTGTTGACAGTCAATAGTGAGCATTGTAAGGGATTACTGATGGGCTTTGTTTATAAAAGAGAAACCTTTTAGACATGAACAGCTACCTGCTTTAGAACACTATCTGCAATTTTTAATCTTCAAATTTAATATGCAAGGAACAAGGCCAATCTTCTCGTCCATAAATAAATATTTACTGAGCTCATGTACCAGTAATAGTTAAGATCTGGAAAGCAACAGCAACAATTGTTTAATTCATTGATCTTAAGTCAAAGATAAACAGAAATAAATAAGAAAATATGTGATGTCTGATAGTAAAAAGTGCTATTAAGAAAAAATCAAGATCTTGAGATATATGTCTGCATGCATGCTTATGTGTTTCAGAGAATCATTTACATCAGGTGATAGGAAGGGCCTCTATGAGGAGGTCACATTGAAGCAGAGGCTGACAGACATGTTGGTGGGGGGTGGCAGAGACTGGAAAGAGCATTCCATGGAGAATTAAAGCAGGGACAGAATTTCAAGAGTTCAATGAAAAGCAGGAAATGCTTGGTAAAAACTTGGATTTTGTTATAATGAGTTTGGATCTGGCAATTTATAAAAAAATTTTTAAAAAAGTCGCTGAAATTCTAATCTAGAGGTTAAAATGTGGTCAGGGATAAGATTAAAAGCAAGGAGATGCTCTTAGCAGGCTACTGAAGTGTTGCAGGGGAAAGAGGACAGTGGTTTGAATAAGGATGGCAGCAGAAGAGGTAATAAAACATGGTAGAATTCAAGATAGAAAATATATATAGGCTACTCCAGAAAGCAGCATCCAAGTACCTGATGAAGCTTTAAGACCCCATCATACATTTTGTAAACATTATTAAATTCCAAACATGCCAAAACTAGAGCACATTATCATGGCCAGGGTATTACTATGACTATTAGTAATACATATTACATAGCAGGCACAGTACTGCTAGTTGACATATAACCTAAAACTATCACCTAGCCTCTGTATTCATCAACCTATGCCCAGGTTTCTTTCTTGGATATGTAAACCCACCACTTCCCTCCTCTATGGAAATTAATGAAACCCAGACAGCATATCATTTCATCCATACACATTTCAGTACCAAAGTATTTTTTTTCAACTTGTGTTGGCCACACATAGGCTCAATTTTACAAGTATCTCCTTAACTCAGTAGCAATGTAACAGCAAATGTTGATCCAAGCATTCTTTAATAGATCTTTTTAAAAATAAGACACATTTCAGGAGCATCAAAACACAGGAGGGGGATTTAATTCTGGTTTTCTATGACACAGTAGGGTAACTATTTGTTCAAACAATCGGATGTATTTTAAGATGACTAGAAGAATCTAAGCTTCCCAACACACACACACACACACACACACAAACGGTTAGTGTTTGAAGAAGTGAGATGACTCCTCTGAATTGATTACTACACACTGTATACATGCATTGAATTAACAATAATGTGCTCAAAAAAATGTATGAATATTGACTCAAAAATATGTTAAAGTTTATCTTTAAAGTTTGGTGATCATCTTTTCTAGT